CTTTCTCACTTTCAAAATGATTTAAAAATATTATATATATATATATATATATATATATATAATAAATGAAAAGAAATATTTATTACTGAACCAACTGTGGGTTTTTTCCTGATCTGCTGAGATGGAGACTGCTATAGTAAGTTTGTGGAATCATATGAAGTAGGTAATGTGAAATGAAGTTCCCAAGAAAATTGCTGCGTCTGTGTTGAAGAAGATACCAGAAGGAATTGACTGATTAGAACTTTGTGACTAGAGTTCAAATGTCCCAAAACAAATCAAATAATCTGAGTTATCTTGAGTCCTCTTAGCTATTTATTGCCTTTCCCTGTATCTAACCTAATATTCTTGTAATTATGAAGTAAAACTTTTGGAATATTTTCTTAGAAGGTCATCCATCAACTTCCACAAACCTACAAGTTAAAAATGTCATTAGATAGCATCTGAAGTCTCTAGGAAATATTTCTCTGCTTTCCTATAAGCCGCCTACCTGATGTCCTTGCCAATGTACTTGATAAATACAGTGATAAATAACTTTTTTTGTGACTATAAAAAGTTTATGTACCTACTTCCTTATTGAAGTAGGTAATTTGGGTCAACCTGAGTCTGTGTCTGCTTCCTCTTTCGCTCAGAGTAAACTCTCTTATTCTCTTTGTGATGTGAGCTGTGTTTTGTATCAATAGTAAAAAAAAAAAAAAAAAAAAAAAAAAGAAAACACCATTGGCTGTATCTACCTTTGAGACTTTTAGGTTAGCCCTAGTCATTGCAAATTCACGGCTATGACTTGATATGTCCCTAGAGTTGAAAAGGTTTTTCCCTTGTTTGTGCCTCTTGTGTTAATACTAGAGTAGAAAATTAATTTATCTGTAATGAAAATTTATATTTCCATATAGCAAAATAAAAATTCAAGTGTGTGTATTCTAACTAATTTCTTCACTGGTACCAAAGAATAAGCACTCAGAATTTTCCTGGGATTACCAGCTTTATACTCTAAAAATAAATAGATTGTTGGTGGCTCTAATTTTATGCTAATTGATATTGAAAAGAAAGCCTGTGTTTATATATCCTGGCTTTGTGGTGCTTAAATATGCAAATGGTACTTTCTATTTACATATGCTTTTAACAGTTCCTTTGCTGGCATTTCCAATTCAATCTCATCAAATTACAATGACAAACTATTCTAAATGAAATTCTATTGATTACATGGAAAAACAGCAAACTAAAGGCTAAGCTAGAAGATAACTGCTCTTCTCTTAAACAAAGAAAGACACAGAGAAATCTGTTTGTTATGTAGAAATGATATGGAGCATGAATATTTATTTAAAAAGATAAAATCACCCTAAGCCATATTGACCAGAAGATCCTGTGATTTTTTTCTCCATGGCAAAAAAGTGTGGTTTCTTACAAGGGAAAACCTGTGTGTGTGTGTGTGTGTGTGTGTGTGTGTGTGTGTGTGTGTGTGTGTGTGTGTCTATAATTTGTGGTAGTCATGCCCTATAGCACAAGCTGGCCTAGAATCATGATCATTCTTCTACTTCAAGGTATTGAGTGTGGTAATTATAAGTTTGTGACACTACATTGAGGTAGAATAGCATAAATTCTAAACTAAACTTCTTGGGTGACATCTTATATTTCAATTAATTATTAAAGTAATTATTAAAAAGTAACAGACTCGTGGCGAGCCGGGTGCGAGAGGCGGCGGCGCGGGGCGGACAGAGTCGAGCGGGCATTGGAGTCAGCCGGGAGGCAGTGGGTGTTTGAGACACCGAACGGAGAGGCCGGGTCCACGAACGCCGCTGACAAGCGATGGGGAAGAAACAGAAAAACAAGAGCGAAGACAGTACCAAGGATGATATTGATTTTGGCGCCTTGGCTGCAGAAATAGAAGGAGCTGGTGCTGCCAAGGAACAGGAGCCTCAGAAATCAAAGGGGAAGACGAAAAAGGAGAAAAAGAAGCAAGACTTTGATGAGAATGATATACTGAGAGAACTGGAAGAATTGTCTCTGGAAGCCCAAGGCATCAGAGCTGACAGAGAAGCTGCTCCAGTCAAGCCTACAGAAAACAATGAAGAAGAATCTGCCTCAAAACAAGATAAAAAGAAGAAAGGACAGAAGGGCAAAAAACCAAGTTTTGATGATAATGATAGTGAAGAATTGGAAGATAAAGACTCAAAATAAAAAAAGACTGCAAAATCTAAAGTGGAAATATTCTCCGGGAGTGATGATGATGATTCTAATAAACTTTCTAAAAAAGCTAAAAAAGCTCAGAAATCAAATAAAAAATGGGATGAATCAGAAGAGGATGAAGATAATAGTAAAAGAAGTAAAGAGCGTTCTAGAGTAAACTCTTCAGGTGAAAGTGGTGGTGAATCAGATGAATTTTTGCAGTCCAGAAAAGGACAGAAAAAAATCAGAAAAACAAGCCACTTCCTAATGTTGAGAGTGGGAATGACGATGATGACTCCTTCAAAATTAAGACAGTGGCCCAAAAGAAGGCAGAAAAGAAAGAGAGATGAAGAAAAAATGAAATTGCGGAAGTTGAAAGAAAAAGAAGAGCTAGAAAAAGGAAAAAAGGACCAGAGTAAACAGAAAGAACCTCAGAAGAAATCTGAAGAGGAAGGTTTGAAACTCAAAGAGACTCTTGATACAGGAGCTGCCTCTGAGGAGAAGAAGAAAAAGAAAACAGAAAAAGATACAAAAGAGAAAGAGAAAGCTATCCAAGAAGCTCTGTCTAGGTTTAAAGAGGAGGAGGAGAGACAGAAGAGAGAAGAGGAAGAGCAGATTAAGCGGCTTGAAGAGCTAGAAGCCAAACGAAAAGAAGAGGAACGATTAGAACAAGAAAAAAGAGAAAGGAAAAAGCAAAAGGAAAAAGAAAGAAAAGAACGCTTAAAAAAAGAAGGGAAACTGTTAACTAAGTCGCAGAGAGAAGCCAGAGCCAGAGCTGAAGTGACCCTTAAACACCTCCAGGCTCAGGGTGTTGAAGTGCCATCGAAAGACTCGTTGCCAAAGAAAAGGCCCATTTATGAAGATAAAAAGAAAAAGAAAATACCACAACAGCCAGAAAATAAAGAAGTATCTGAAACCTTGGAAGTAAGTGCTGCTGTGGAAGTTGTGGAGCAAGGAATGCTAGAAAAAGAAGAGACACCCCCTTCTGTTGAACCAAAGGAAGAAGAAGAAACTGAGGATGCTGGGTTAGATGACTGGGAAGCTATGGCCAGTGATGAAGAGAGAGAACAAGAAGGAAATACGATTCACATAGAAGTACAAGGAAAACATGAAGAGGAGGAGGAGGAAGACAAAGAGGAAGAGAGTGAAGATGAGGAAGAGGAAGGAGAAAGTGAAGGCAGTGAAGGTGATGAGGAAGATGAGAAGATGTCAGATGAGAAAGACTCAGGGAAGGCATTAGATAAAAAGCCAAGCAAAGACGTTAGCTCAGACTCTGAGTATGACTCTGACGACGACGACGACCGAACTAAAGAAGAGTGGGCTTACGACAAAGCAAAGCGGAGAATTGAGAAACGACGACTTGAACATAGTAAAAATGTAAATACAGAAAAGTTAAGAGCCCCTATCATCTGTATGCTTGGACATGTAGACACATGGAAAACAAAAATTCTAGACAAGCTCCGTCACACGCATGTCCAAGATGGTGAAGCAGGTGGTATTACACAGCAGATTGGTGCCACAAATGTTCCTCTTGAAGCTATTAATGAACAAACTAAGATGATTAAAAATTTTGACAGAGAGAGTGTCCGCATCCCAGGAATGCTGATTATTGATACTCCTGGACATGAGTCTTTCAGTAACCTGAGAAACAGAGGAAGCTCTCTTTGTGACATTGCCATTTTAGTTGTTGACATTATGCATGGTTTAGAGCTGCAGACAATTGAATCTATCAACCTTCTCAAATCTAAAAAATGTCCCTTCATTGTTGCACTTAATAAGATTGACAGGTTGTATGACTGGAAGAAGAGCCCTGATTCGGATGTGGCTGTTACTTTAAAAAAGCAGCAGAAGAATACGAAGGATGAATTTGAGGAGCGTGCAAAGGCCATTATTGTAGAGTTTGCACAGCAGGGTTTGAATGCTGCTTTGTTTTATGAGAATAAAGATCCCCGTACTTTTGTGTCCTTGGTACCTACCTCTGTACATACTGGTGATGGCATGGGAAGTCTCATCTACCTTCTTGTGGAATTAACTCAAACCATGTTGAGCAAGAGGCTTGCACACTGTGAAGAGCTGAGAGCACAAGTCATGGAGGTTAAAGCTCTCCCAGGAATGGGCACCACAATAGATGTTATATTGATCAATGGACGTTTGAAGGAAGGGGATACAATCATTGTCCCTGGAGTAGAAGGGCCCATTGTCACTCAGATTTGAGGCCTCCTTTTACTTCCTCCTATGAAGGAATTACGTGTGAAGAACCAGTATGGAAAGCATAAAGAAGTGGAAGCAGCTCAAGGAGTGAAGATTCTTGGGAAAGACCTTGAGAAAACACTTGCTGGTCTACCTCTCCTAGTGGCTTACAAGGATGATGAAGTCCCAGTTCTCAAAGATGAATTGATCCATGAGTTAAAGCAGACACTAAATGCTATCAAATTAGAAGAAAAAGGAGTTTATGTCCAGGTGTCTACACTAGGCTCTTTAGAAGCTCTTCTTGAATTTCTGAAAACATCAGAGGTGCCATATGCAGGAATTAACATTGGCCCAGTCCATAAGAAAGACGTTATGAAGCCTTCAGTGATGTTGGAACATGATCCGCAGTATGCAGTGATTCTGGCCTTTGATGTAAGAATCGAACGGGATGCGCAAGAGATGGCTGATAGTTTGGGAGTTAGAATCTTTAGTGCAGAAATTATTTATCATTTATTTGATGCCTTTACAAAATACAGACAAGACTACAAGAAACAGAAACAGGAAGAATTTAAGCACATAGCAGTATTTCCCTGCAAGACGAAAATCCTCCCTCAGTACATTTTCAATTCTCGAGATCCAATAGTAACAGGGGTCACTGTGGAGGCTGGTCAAGTCAAACAAGCAAAAATTTTGTTGACATTGGGATAGTAACAAGTATTGAAATAAACCACAGGCAGGTGGATGTTGCAAAAAAAGGACAAGAAGTCTGTGTCAAAATAGAAAGTAAAAAATAAAAAATAAAAAAAAAAGTAACAGACTCCTGTAAGGTCATTTATGAAAATTTCCACAAAACTTCATTAATATGGCTGTATTGACACTAAGTTATAAAGATATGATTAAATTATATTCACATCAGAGTCACAGATTGATGATCATGACCTAGATTTTCTTGTTCAATATTTCACTTTCCAGAAATTGCCTTGTGACTATTTTTGACTTAATTTACAACTAGAACCCTAGAAGCAAAAATGTATTCCCAATCCATAAACATCCTTTTAGTAACCTATTAATTTTATATCTTACTTAGAAATACCTTTGCTACTACTCTCTCTCCTCCAGTTTCAGACGGGCAGTGTTAGGTTGTAAGACTTCATTTCTCTTTGCTCCCATCTTTCTGGATTCCAGTTTTCCTATTTCTTGATGCCTTCCATTCTTGACAAGTTAGATCTACTACTTTCTTAAATGTGATATAATCATTTGAGAGTATGGCAAATCATTTGAGAAACATGTATCTGAAAATTCAATATCTCTAAATGTTTGAAGGTTTAAATAATTTAAGGTTTAAAAGAAATTCTCCCCAAACATCTAGTACTTTGCTTCCACAAAGTATTTTATAAATTTATTTCAGATAGTTGCTGGCCTCAACATCAGTTTTTAGGCCTTGATAATGGTTGAAACCCAGTTCTATCTTGTCACCTGTGGTTTTCTTAAAACTTTTGTTGTGTGGTTGTTTTCAATAAAGCCCACTCCTTTATCATCTCACTGATGGAGAACCCACCATAATCCCCAACTATTTCATGATAAAGTCAACATTACTGCCCCCTCTCCTTCCCTGCTCATTAAGCTCTCCATGCTTCTCTTCACCATCTTTAACCTCTCTAGACCAGGCCAATACATTTCTTGTTTCCTGTGTTTTGGTTTCCTTATGTCTGACACACTACCCTGAACCTGACTTTTGTCCCATCAGATTTCCCATTAGAGATGTGCTATTTGGTATATAGCAGTTACTAAGAGAGATGCCCCTGCTACCAAATAAGAAACTGTAACAAAAATCACAATCAAATGTTAATTCCAAAAAATCTCTTTGCTCTGTTTCCAATTCTTGATATGACTTTATTTTTCCCTCACTTTTCTTCCCTCCAATGGCTTTTAGGATCATTATTTTAATCCAATTTTCTAAAATATTGTTTATAAGAGCTGGTTTTCTGAGCCTTTTTGATTTGTTGGAACTTCCATTAAATAGTTCTTTTCCTTTCAGAAACTCATACCTTTTGAGGTATTTTTGAATGAGAATGGCCCCATAGGCTCATATATTTGAATAGTTGGTCCTCAGTTGGTGGAACTGTTTAGTGTAGCTAGAGTTTTCCTGCCTTGCCCACAGTCAGGACAAATCTTTGTCACTCGCCAGTCCCACAGCCGCTCAGACCCAACCAAGTAAACACAGAGACTTATATTGCTTACAAACTGTATGGTCGTGGCAGGCTTCTTGCTAACTGTTCTTATATCTTAAATTAATCCATTTCTATAAATCTATACCTTGCCACATGGCTGGTGGCTTACCGGCGTCTTCTTCACATGCTACTTGTCATGGTGGTGGCTGGCAATGTCTCTCTGCCTCAGCCTTCTGCTTCCCAGAATTCTCCTCTTTCCTTGTCCCACCTACTTCCTGCCTGGCCACTGGCCAATCAGTGTTTTATTTATTGACCAATCAGAGCAATTTGACATACAGATCATCCCACAGCAGTTTAGGAAGGATTAGAAGGTATATCTCTGCAGGTGGCATTTGAGATTCCAAAGCCCATGACATTCCCAGTTAGTTCCCCCTCTCTTTCTGCCTCCAACTTGCAAACCAGGGTATAAGATTTTAGTGACTGCTCCAATGCCACGCTGTTGTAAGCTCTCGGCTTCTGTTCCAGTGTCTTCCTGCCTGCTGCCTTGATCCTGGCAATGACAGTCATGGACTCTAACCCCGTGGATCTGTGAGCCTCCAGTTAAATGTTTTATTTATCAGTTGATTTGGTCATGGTGTCTTTTCACAGCAATAGAGATGTGATGAAGACTTTTTGAATTGTAAAATAACTTCCAGTCACTTCTTTGATCATTTTTATATTCTATTTTCTCTTTCAGCAAATAGCATCTTTGCAATGTCACACATCGTAAAGTAAGCTAATAATTTCTTAACTTCTTTGATCTTTATTTCTGATTATCCTCAATTTACTCTGTACTTTGGCAGTTTGCCTCAATTTAATGTGTCCTCATTTCTACGGATTGAAAAAAATTACTAACATGTTTTAATAGCTTGTTTTGCTCTAAGAAGATTTCATAGTTCTATGTTCTGAGTAAGGATATTAGTTGTAGTTTTAATATTATTTTTCTCTGTTCTCAGCATACCATGTTTTCCCAAGAGCTTTTATTTTTGTTGTTGTTGTTGTTGTCTATATCTTTCAAGTTAGAAACATTTCCAAATGTTTTAGGTTTTCCTGTGATTTCTAGTGAAGTAATAAAACTAATACCAAGGTTTGAATAGGAACAGAGCCTATCACTGGGTGAAATTCAAATAGCTATATATAATGGCCTTTTCATTGGAAACACTAGTTTTATACAATCAATATGTGTTATGTTTCCCAGTATCTTGTTTTGATGTAGCAATATTGCCTGCTACCTTTACTTCAGGTAAGTAATGGAAGGAACATCTCAAATTTCACTACCATCTCTAATTACAGGCATTCACAATCCTATTTCAGAATGGTTACATTCTTGAATTGACACACTTTAAACTTCTATGTCAATTTTTATATTTATGTGAGTACATAATTTGCAGAACAGTACCATAGTAACTGCATTGGTTGAAACACGTGTTTACTATAAGATTATTCAAGTATTTTTTTATGATTCAGATAGGATATCATTTAGGCTGCTACTCTTCTGATTTTCAGAGATAAAATCATGTCAGTAGGCAACTAAGGCAAAAACTTCATACCCTTACTGTTACATTTGTTTCTATGGATGAAAATTATTCAAAATTCAGTTTTAAATAAAACACTACACAACACTGTTTAATACAGGGATAAGATGAAATTCTCAAAGGAAACTATACAACCATAGGATCAGGCTTTAGTGTTTGTAGAATCAAACCCAACTTAATAACATGTAATCCTTGTCCAAAAATCCTTTTCAGAATATCATCTGCTATTGTTGGCTAAAGGATATGCAGCATGTCTACTCCATTTCTTAATAAGAGCATAGGCTAGAGACAAACCTTAATAGTTATAAAAATAATGGTAAATGATAAAAATGAGAGCTGTTATTTCTTGAGCTGTGCTCAATGTACTTTATAGCCTTTTATTATAAAGAGTTTAAATTTCATCTGTGAGTTACTAATATACACTTATTTCCAAAACTGCAAAGCTCCAATTCAGAGTGGTACAATGCTACTGTCACATTGGATTTTAAAACCAGGTTTACTTGATAACCAATTAACTATGCAAACCATCTCTCTTTCTCTTCTCTCTCTCTCTCTCTCTCTCTCTCTCTCTCTCTCTCTCTCTCTCTCTCTCGTGTGTGTGTGTGTGTGTGTGTGTGTGTGTGTGTGTGTGTGTACGGTTTATGTTAGGCAAAGCAGCTTAGGAGAATGTCAGGGTGTAAATTCAGAAAAAATGGAGAATGAGATGGAAATACATTTCCTTATGCTGTGAATGCTACCTTGCTAAAGTGAGTTTATAAACTCAACTTACTCAACTCCAGATGTGCTTTTTTGTGGCCTTTGGCTAGAAGGTGAAGAATATCATAGAAAATATATCATATGAGTCTGCATCTTTCAAATCACCACAAGGAAAAATAAATACATTAAAAGGGAAAATTGATCCTAATATTTAAATTATTCAAGAGAATACTTTGATTGGTACACACCTTCTGTTGCTCTTAATAAGCATGGCAGATTTTTATGTGTGTACATATGGTTTTATGCATGAAAGTGTGCCAAGAACTGTACCAAGCATAGCATTAGCATAATCATTTATAAAGTCTAAGCACACACCTACACAAAGATACACATGTAAAAGCATTAGCACCGTTTTCTTTCTGTTGATGTGGTAAAGAGCATGACCATAGGAAGTAAAGGGTTTATTTGGTTTACATGTCCTTATCACTGTCCATCACTGAGGAAAATCAAGGGAGAAACTCAATCAAGGAGAAAACCTGGGGGCAGGAGCTGATGCAGAGACCATGGAAGAGTGCTGCTTACTGGCTTGCTCCTTTTGGCTTGCTCATCCTGTTTTCTTATAGAACCCAGGACCACCTAGAGGTGTTATCAAACACAGTGGACTGGGTCCTCCCACATTAACTATTAATCATGAAAATACCGCACAGGCTTTCCTAAGGGCTGATCTGATGGAGACATTTTCTCAGTTGAGGTCCCTTCTTCTCAGGTGACTCTAGCTTGTGTTACTGTGGCAAAAAAAAACTAACTATCACAGACATATAATCCAAAAGATATGATTCTATTTTCCTGAAGTCTAAGAACAATCAAAATTTAATTGCATTGTTTATGGATGCAAGTATGGATGGTTAACTATGGAAAGATATTTAAGAAAAGTATTATCATAAAACTATGAGTAGTATTCATTCCAGATCAGTTGCACACACTCCAATGTGTGACCCCATACTTATGAATATATAGTCAGTATAAATTTTACTGTTATTAAAAAAACAATGGGTTATTTAAAGAAGAGCACATAAAGTTGGGGGGTGAGAAGATAGGGAGTGGATCTGGGAAGTTATGGGAGGAGTAGGGGTTCACAAACACCTTGTATGCAATTCCCATAGAATTATTAAAACTGGTATACAAAGAAATAAATAGTTAAAAAGATCATTGCCAGAGTTGTTTGGAATTTTAACTGGAAAGGGGCATAGCCTAAGCCAAGGATAATTTCTGAGCTAGTTACAAAGTTCTATTTCTTGATGTGGGTAGTTTCATTTAGATTTATTTTAGTAGTGTTTACATATGATATATTCT